CAAGGTTGACTCAGCCTTCCATCCTTTCTAAGGTGGGTAAATTGAGGACCCAGTTTGTGGGGGCAATAAGCTGACTTTGTATAAATGTACAAAAGTATGAAGGCTATTGCTTAACGCATTGTAAGCCGCCCTGAGTCTCCAGAGAAGGGCGGCATATAAATCTAATTAATTAATTAATTAATTAAAAAAGTCTAGTTTCCCCATTGACTTTGCTTGTCAGAAGGTCACAAAAGGGGATCATATATTTCAGGAACATTTCAACCATCATAAATGTGAACCAGTTGCCAAGCAGTCAAATTTTGATCATGTGACCAAGGGGATCCTGCAATGGTTGTGTGAAAAATGGTCTCCCAAGTCCCTTTTTTTCAGTGCCATTGTAACTTCGAACGGTCACGAAATGAAGTGTTGTAAGTCAAGGAATACCTCTAGCGGTATTGGGTTGGCCCCAATCAAACTCTGGAATTTATGTCTATGGAGATTCTCAGTCATCCAGGTCATGGTTGTCCCAAAGGTGCTTTTTAAAGATGCAACTGGACTTCCTTAGTTTCTGTCTCAGATTGTATAGGGCTTCCTGCTGAAGCAGGGGGTTGGACTAGAAGACCTTCAAGGTCCCTCCCAGCTGTGTTCTGACTGATTGATATTTCATGGATGAAGCCTCTCAAGTACTTTGGAATGTGGTTTCCTTGTGAATTGAACGTTTGCCTTGAAATTGAAAAAAAAAAACAATTGCTACCAACCTGCCTTCCATGGAGGACCTGTATACTGCACGACTCAAAAAGAGGGCTGTGAAAATATTTATAGACCCCTTGCATCCTGGACATAAACTGTTTCAACTCCTACCCTCCAAACGACGCTATAGAGCACTGCACCCCAGAACAACTAGACACAAGGACAGTTTTTTCCCCAACGCCATCACCCTGCTAAACAAATAATTCCCTCAACACTGTCAAACTATTTACTAAGACTGTATTACTATTATTCTTCATCCTTCCTATTATCTATCTCTTCCCACTTATCACTATAACCATGTTGCTTGTATCTTTACGATTTATATTGTTTTATTTGTTTCCTAGCAGGGTGGATAAAAATCAATGATTTTTTTAAAAAAAATCAAAAAAATCAGATTTTTTTAATTTAAATCGGATTTTTTTGATTTAAATCGGATTTTTTTGATTTTTATCGAATTTATTTTAATAAAAAACTTTTGGAGTAAAAATCTATCGTAAGATAGTTTTCTATTTAAGATACATAAATAATGTAGTTGATTCAGCATGAAATGGAGCTGAGTTATGTAGCATGAGGCTGTATATTCTGCAACACTGGGACTATCGGTGAGTCAACAGTGGGTCAAAGGAGTAGCAGAGATGACAGTTGCTCTTTAAAAATTATGATTTAAATCGAGTTGATTTAAATCAAGCCTTTTTACTAGTGATTTAAATCATGATTTAAATTGTGATTTAAATCAACTCGATTTAAATCAAATCCACCCTGTTTCCTAGTATGATTTGATTGCTTATTAGTAACCTATGACTATCACTTAAGTGTTGTATCTTATGATTCTTGATGAATATATATATATTCATTTATGTACACTGAGAGCATATGCACCAAAGACAAATTCTTGTAGGTCCAATCACATTTGGCCAATAAATAAAACAACAATAACAACAACAACAACAACAACAACAATAAAATGGGAGGCCTCTCGTGTCAATAAAAATGAGATTGGATGCCAGTCAAGATATTAAGCCTGTTGGTTCTTCCACATGTTTGAATCTTTTCTCTGGACATTCAGACTAACTCACCATAGCCACAAAGATAATATCAATAAAGCAGTTTAGGTAATAAAAGCCAGCTCCAATAAACAGAGCAGCAGTAGCAGTACATCTGTCAACAGCCTTCTAATAAATGTCTATCTATCAAAATAATACTGTTTAATCTGCTGGGTTGGTCCTTTGGTTGCCTCAGAATAGGTGATTCATCCTTTCAAATCAATTTGTCTACCTGTCTCTTCCCTGTAAGAACAATTTAGGGATTATGTTAATAGAGTCTCTTTTCGCGTGCAAACACATTTTTGGAAGGAGAAGTCAACCTCTGATACAAGGCAATTCGATTCTTTTTGAAAAGTTCATTGTCGACCTTTGAATTGTGTAGTTTATGTTGCTGTTGTTTAAGGGCAATAAACTGGCAAGGAATAATATGATTGAGGAATACAGGTAGTCCTCGACTTACAACCACAATTGAGCCCAAAATTTCTATTGCTAAGCTGGATATTTGTAAAGTGAATTTTGCCCCATTTAACAGCCTTTCTTGCGTGAATCAACTGCAGTTAAATTAGTAACTTGGTTGTTAAGTGAATCTGGCTTCCTCATCGACTTTGCTTGTCAGAAGGCCACAAAGGGGGACCATATGAACCCTGGACACTGCAACGGTCATAAGTATGAGTCAATTGCCAAGCGTCTGAATTTTGATCATGTGACCATTGGGAGGCTGTAACAGTTGTAAACATGAAAAATAGCCGTAAGTCACTGTTGTAAATCAAGGACTACCGGTATTTGAAAATGTGCTGCAACTTCTTCTTTCCTCTGTTTTTGTGCCTATTCTCCATTTGTTCTTTCTGCTCCTGAACAATTCTGGAACAACACAGCCACTTAAGAAATTATAGCGATGTCTGTATTTACATTTTTCTTCTGCCTCTGTCTGCCTGCCTGCCTGCCTTGAGCTTGGAAGAAGCGTGATAAATTTCAGGGGAAGGGAATATGTGTGCCAAAGGGCCCCGTTCATTTGTCTGTGACAGTGCAAAGTATTTTTAGTAAAGTATTTATAAGAGAAGCCTGCCTTTTAAAATTCGCTTTCTTTACAAATTTAATTGAAGGGCTGGCCAGGACAAAAATAAGTTGAAGAGGGAAGGGAAGGGAAGGAAGGATGAGGAAAGGAAAGGAAAGAAAAGAAAGGGAAGGAAGGATGAAGAAAGGGAGGGGAGAGAAGGATGAGGGAAGAGAAGGGAAGGGGTAAGCAAAGAAGGAAAAAAGAGAGGGAAGAAAGGAGGTAGGGAAGGTGGTGGAAGGAAGGGAGGATGGGAGGATTGGATATGCCTAATTTAGGAAGATTATATACTGCAAAAAGAAAACTAATTGTAATGGCAAAAGAACTTCAATAATGTCAACATTTATTTAAGCAGAGAAATAGAATGACTTTGTGTAGGCAAAAATGCAGTGGGACTGACTTTTGATTTCCTGCCGGCTTCACCATTGACTTTGCTTATGGGAAGCTGAATCTTGTGTTGGAAATCATGGCCATGTGACAGTGGGATGCCGCAATGATCCACATCTTTGCAAATAAAACAGAATTGAACATTGTGGGAATTCCAATTCTAGAGAAGTCCTGGATTTTTTTATGCATTCTTTTAAATTAGTGGCTTTTTAGGGACCTTGCTGCAAAAATTGTTGCAGTATAGTGCACCATTTCACTTAACGTGAAGGTACAAACTGTTAAAGACAACGAGAGTTTTAATGATGGATGGATGGGTTGGATAGATAGATGGACGGACAGACAGACAGACGCTTTTCCTGCTTTTTAACATTAAAATCCATTTCGAAGTCAGCCAGTTTGACCATTTGGCTGGGAAATAATTGGTGTTAAGCCTGACGATGTTTTGTCAAAACGGGAATGGATTTCCTTTGATCTATTGTATTGTGCTGATTTGCTTTGTCGAGGGTGTTCTCTCAGCTAAGTTTTTGCCTTTCGTGACACTGCTTCCCTTTGGCTGTTTCTGTTTCTGTTTTTATAAGTTTGTTTATTAGCTTTATATTGTTTTGGTTAGCTGCACCAAGGACAATTTTGTAAACAAAGCAGTTCATGTTTAAAATGAAGGGCATTTGAGAGTCCCTTTATGGGAACAGTTGTTTTGCTTGAAAAATATCCTGGGGAAAGAATCTTTAGTATGTAAAATTAGTACGTAATTGAAATTTGCACGAGTGGTCAGTGTTTGTAGATGATGCTAAGATGGCACATTTTGGTTAAGGATTGTGTTTGAATAACAAATAGGTACAGGTAGTCCTTCACTTATGACCAAAATTGGGAGTGGAATTGAATGAGTCATACCAGTTGTTAACCGAATTTGTGACCGTTAAACAGATTCTGTGGGCACAAGTGCAAACCCATTTTTCCAACGAGTGGGTTTTTTTTTTTTGCTGGAAATGGGCAAAAAAGGTTCCATATTGGGAACCTTTAAAATTGCGCAGCAGGTATCCAAATGAAGTCAGAGACACTGACACGAGCTTGTCGTTTTATATAAATAAGTATATTTTACATCAATATTTGCAGCAAACAAGATTGTTGCAGCAAACAAGATTGTCAGGCAAACAGGAGCATCGTGAGGTAAATCACAGAGCCCCCGCCCTCCCCCCCAAAGAAAAAAGGCGGGGAAAAAGGGAAACTCCCCTTCCCTCTCCACAGCAACCAATCACAGCGCAGATTGCCTCATGTAGGAGCCAGCCTTTTCCCATCAATCAACTGTAATGGTCTGGCTCATGTGTACAACTCCATTGCTCCAGCTACAAAATTCAAATATCTTAACAATATCACAGTGACGTGACCACAGGAAGCTGCAACCAGACATAAATGCGAGTTAGTTGAAAGTGCCCGAATTGCGATCATAGGGATAGTGTAATGGTCATACGTGTGAGGACTAGTCATAAGTGCGAGGACCTGGCTTTTTTTCAGCACTGTCATGTCTTCGAACAGTCACTAAATAAATAGCTGTAAATTGAGGACTAGATTTTAATAGTTGCTACCCTGTTTTCCCGAAAATAAGACATCCTCTGATAATAAGCCCAATCGGGCTTTTGAGCGCATGGCAATAAGGCCAAGCGCTTATTTCAGGCTTCAAAAAAATATAAGACAGGGTCTTATTTTTGAGGAAACACGGTAATATTGTCTAATTCCTCCTTTTGGAGAAAATCTGCCTTCCTAATTTTGTATTTATCATTCTTTTTCAGGGAGTGGAGCAACAGCTGTGGTCCAAGCGGCCTATTGTACCCCAAAGAAGGAAAAAGTGGCAATTAAGCGGATCAATCTTGAGAAATGCCAGACCAGCATGGACGAGCTCTTGGTACAAAAATTCCACCCATGTTCTTTCACACTTAATTTAGGGTCTGTAAATCACTATGATTTGGGGTTGATGGTAATAATTCTTCTTGAGGCAGGGATTGGTTGGAATTTTACTGGGTCCCTTAGAGGGTTTTTTTAAATTAATTAAACATTTTAGATGAGATAACAGTATTACTGCTGTTTCACTTTTTTATTGCTTTATTGTTTTCTTATTGTTTGCAAGCTTCCAGTGGTAGCTTTATATATTTTTTATTCGCTTTCTTGAATATTTTTTGTTGCAAATTGCCTAGAATTAACTTGGTTGAATTGGTTACAGCCAGATAAATATTTTAAATAGAGGAACTAACGTTCAATAAATAAAATAGTCTCCTGTTTAGCCTGTATGAAAAACAAAAAGGTGAAAAGTATAAGTTCCCTTTTGAAAAGCTTGCTAGAGAACAATTAAAAAGGAAAGGTATAAGCTCTCCCTGTGGCAATTAGGGATCCAAATCAACAGGCTTTGTGGTTTAGTTCAGACCTCAATGTGAATAAAGTTATTCCTGTTTAAGCCACAAGGAGGATTGTGATTCAGTTCATTTCTATTTTGAGACTGCATAAATGGGATTTGTGTTATCATTCAGGAATACCCATATCTGGCAATCCTGTTTTGCTAATACACCCAGGACAATGTTAGGACACCGGTGCTAGGCTATCTGGGTAACTGCCACCGCTTCTGTTCCTTTTTTGCTAAAATAAGGGCAGGTTTTATTTTATTTAAAATAAAACAACTTACTGGATTTCAAGATTTGCCAATTTAGGGCTGAAAGACTTATTCAGCAAGCTCACTTGTCGAAAACGTAGATGGTTTTTAGAGCAGTATTTCTCAGCCATAGAAATTTAGGATGTATGAATTTCAACTCCCAGAATTCGGGAAGTTGAAGAGCACACATTTTTAAAGTTGCTAAGTTGAGAAACGCTGGTTTAGTGCAGAGATCCAGACAAATGTCTTCGTTGTGACAAACTGGACACCCACAATTAATTTTACTTTCTGGGATAAGAGGTACCGAGCTTTGCTCAGTCTTGATTTGGCTTGCACAGCACACTCTGCAAACCACTGATTACTGACCATAATGACTGGGTTCCTACAACACAGTAAACCAGTGTTTATCACATTTGGCAATTTTAAGATGTGCTGACTTTAAGTCTGTCTGGGGAATTCTGCGAGTTGAAATCTGTGCATCCCAAAGTTGCCAAATTTAAGAAACACTGGTTTAGAATAAGTGGGGGATAGACAGGCTGAAGACAAAACAAAATCTCTCAGTTTTACAATGTCGGGTGTCAAAAATTCCAGAGGAATTGAAAAAAAAATCCTCTTTCTCTTCTCTTAGAAGGAATTGTCCTCAAGAATATTTTTTTTTTCAGGTCTCTGGAATGCCTTGAAACTTAATCCTTTGCCAGGCTGAAAACTTTCTTAAGAACCAGCGTGACCTCCCCTGACTCAAAACCTTGGTGCTTCTTGAGTCTTCACAAGGAGGATGTGTTTATAATTAGCAAGCAGAAATCTCAAGATGAATGCTCTATTCAGACACACTGGCAGTGTTTTACGTTTAAATTTGGAAGGCTGTGTTTTATGTGGGCCAGGATGAACGAATAGAAATATGCTTGAATAACTGGAGAATGTTAATAAAATCAAGGCTGTTCTCTCTGCAGACATATCCCCAAATTTGGGGACAGGATGACACACCCCAATAGTTGGGTGTGAAGTTAGAAAGCACAGGTGATCCTCGACTTACAACAGTTCATTTAATAACCGTTCAAAGTTACAACGGCACTGAAAAAAGTATTTATTTATGACCTTTGCAGCATCCCCATGGTCACATGACCAAAATTCAGATGCTTGTCAACTAGTTCATATTTATGATAGTTGCAAAGTCCCAGGATCTTGAGATCAGTTTTTGTCACCTTCTGACAAGCAAAGTCAATGGGGAAGCCAGGTTCACTTCATCATCATGTTAACTGCACTAATTCACTTAACAACTGTGATTCATAAAATGGGGCAAAACTCACTTAAATGTTACACTTAGCAACATAAATTTTGGGCTTAATTGTGGTCGTAACTCGAGGACTACCTGTATAAAAAAAGGCGTGCAAGAAGACTATTTTTAAAATCATAACCTACACAACCTTGTGCAACAATTTCATTTCAGGTGCAACCTTCTGCAGGGCACTACTTCGGGTCTGAAAGGCCTTTTCCAAAAACGTTGAAATTTTTAAATTGATATATATTCTTGACAAGCAGAGTGTGCCAATTCTTGAATTTCTACTGAGTAGTTCATTTGCTCTAGGCTTCAACCGGTCTCCTTGTTTAGTCATTGGAAACGCCTCATGTACTTTTTCCTGAAATGAGAAAAAAAAAATGAATTAGTGATTTTTAAAGGAAAGGCCAGAAGCTGCTTCTTTGTGATCTTCCCTTCCCTTCCCTTTCTCCTTCCCCTTCCCTTATTTTTCTCTTTCAACATTTCTGTTGTATTCGTTCTTTTAAAAAAATTCTTTAGTAACAATTATATATGTGTGTGTGTGTGTGTGTCCCTGGATCTATAAGTCTGCTTGTTTGCAGCTTTGAATAAAAACATTCAGTTTTGCAGCTTAGATGATATTTTTTAGGCTGCATAAAATCAATTTTACATTACCTAGAAGGTGTGGTAGGTTACAGAGTTGAGGTATGGTTAAGTTCAGGTTCCAAAAATAGTGCCTAATTCAATTTTTTAGCTTCTTGGCAAACTCCACTTATTGTAGAGGCACTTGCCAGTTCCTGTTTTTGAGGCAGAGAATGTTTGGCAGCTTGTTAATTTCTGTTTTTCCCTATGTAATCTTTAAGCCTAGTGGATTTGTGTCCTCTTTAAAGATTACTATATTAAAAATACAGTAGTACAGTGGTCTAAGGCACCCTGTTATTAAGCTGGTTATTAAGACCAGCTGCCTGCAATTACTGCAGGTTCGAATCTCCCCAAGGCTCAAGGTTGACTCAGCCTTCCATCCTTTCTAAGGTAGGTAAATTGAGGACCCAGTTTGTGGGGGCAATAAGCTAACTTTGTATAGATAAAAAAAGAACACCGCTTAGGGGGGGGTGAAAGCCCTACTAAGCAGGTCTATACAAAAGTATGAAGGCCATTGCTTAATGCATTGTAAGCTGCCCTGAGTCTCCGGAGAAGGGCGGCATATAAATCGAACCAATAAATAAATAAATATAATTATTAGAATTAGAAACAATAGGAGCCTTGGTAGTACAGTGGTCTAAAGCACCCTGTTATTAAGTCCAGCTGCCTGCAATTATTGCAGGTTCGAATCTCGCCAGGCTCAAGGTTGACTCAGCCTTCCATCCTTTCTAAGGTAGGTAAATTGAGGACCCAGTTGGTGGGGGCAATAAGCTGACTTTGTATAAATATACAAAAAGATGAAGGCTATTGCTGAGCACATTGTAAGCCGCCCTGAGTCTCCGGATAAGGGCGGCATATAAATCAATTTTTTTTAAAAAAAATCCTCTTTTCATTTGTTTGTTCGCTTGCGGGAGGTAGCTACCGAGGTTATTGTGTTTTGCATTAAGGTCTACTTTCCAGGATTGGTGTATATTTTTATAAATACAGATCAAGAGGTTGGGCTTTGGCTTGGCATCTTGCACGAACCAATGAGGTTCATTTAGCCAACCACGGTTAAATAAACTGTGATGGTTATATTTCCCATATTTTCCAAGCTCTGAGTTCAGGAGAGAGGAGATTCTGTGTAGTTGCTGTGCTAGAGTTGACTGAGTTAGGAATAGCAAAAGCATTTATAATTATATATCGCTCCATGGTGCTTGACAAAATGTTTACAGAGATAGCATATTCTGCCCAACAATCTGGGTCCTCATTTTACCTATCTTGGAAGGATGGAAGGCTGAGTCAAGCTTGAACTGGTGAGAATCAAACTGCTGTCACTCAGCAGAATTAGCCTTGCAATACTGCAGTCTAACCACCGGGTCACCACAGCTCAATGGTGTTAACTAAATCCCAGGTCACTAGGCAAGGCTTTCTACAACCAAGTCAGTGGGGAAGCCAGCAGGAAGTTGAAAGAGGGCTTATTATCAGGGGACGTCTTATTTTGGGGGGAACAGGGTAAGTGTGAAAACCAGTTACAATTTTTTTTCCAGTGCTGTTGTAACTTTACACGGTCACTAAATGAAATGTTGTAAGTCAAGGACTACTTGTGTATCCATGTAACTTGCTGGAAAGCAAAGTGGCAACATGTTCCAATTGCCTTTTTCCAGGATATTCTTCAGTTGGGTAGTCCTGCATGCCTATTGCTCCCTCTCTACATAACCATCAGGATTGACGTTTTGGAGGTCAGCCCAGGTAGCATGGTGCTTGGGAAAAGGGAATCTTTCCTTCAAGTCCAACTCATGTAGCCTCTCTGAACAGCACATAAGCGGTTTATTATTATTTCTTTCCAGGGTATTTTTTTAACTGCCCAGCCTAGCCTACAGCCCTGAAATCTCTGCATGGTCTCCCAGCTAACCATAAACCAGATTAGACCCTGCTTATTTTCCATGCCCAGGAAAAGTTGGCCACTGCTAGCACTTGCTGAGGTAGCAATGTTTAGTGAAAGTGAAGAATAAATAATAAAATAAACTGGAGAGCCAGTTTGGTTTAGTAGTTAAGGTACCAGGCTAGAAATCAGGAGATGGTGAATTCTAGTCCCACTTTAGGCATGAAAGGCAGCTGGGTAACTTTGGGCCAATCCCCAGGAGATATGAGTTCTAGTTCTGCTTTAGGTGTAAAAACCGACTGGAAGACTTTGGGCCACTTCTCAGGAGAGCGTGAGTTCTAGTTCCATTTTAGGCATGGACAACTTTGAGCTAGTCCCCAGGAGATGGTGAGTTCTAATCCTGCCTTAGGTGTAAAAGCTGACTGAGAGTCTTTGGGCCAATTCCCAGGAGAGGGTGAGTTCTAGTCCTGCCTTAAGGCATGAAAGCATGTGGGTGACTTGGGCCCAATCCCTAGGAGAAGTGAATTCTAATCCTGCTTTAGGCATAAAACCTGGCTGGGTGATTTTGGGCCAATCACCAGGTGACGGTGAGTTGTAGTCCTACCTTAGGTGTGAAAGCCTGCTGGGTGACTTGAATCAGTCCCTCCCTCTCAGTCCAACCTAACTCAAAAGGTTTTTCTGTTGGTGAAACATAGGAGAAGGAAGGAGTATACGATATGGTTGCTATCTTGAATTAGTTATATAAACAATAAAGCAGGGATAAAAAAAAAAACTAAAAGAGATGCCACTGCTTGGTATGCTGGATGTGGGTGAGTTTTTTGCACATTGCACAGTGGAGCATCCTGAACCTTCTTGGGGGACCTCAGACAAGTTTGGAATTGGGAGAGCATGTTTTGGGGAACTTCACCTTGAGTAGCCGCACGCCCTTATGGCTATCACAAAACACCCGTTGACTGGACACCAACCAAACTTTCAATTGCAGATTTCCAACAGGAACTTCCTTACTTCATCCAAGTCACTTTCTTAAGAGGATGGAAACAAAATTAGGAACAGAGAGGAAGCTGGGGATTCCCTAAGGAACAGGGTTTCATCTTGGGAACCCAAATAATAATTTGATTACAGATTTACTTGTAATTTATTTGTAAGATAATTTATGAATATGATTTGAAACAATCAAATTGATTTGCTGTCCTCCTGCAGTTACAGGTAATTCTTGATTTAAGATCACAATTGATACCGGAATCCCTTTTACTAGGCAAGATGATTGTCAAGTGAGCTATACCCAACATTGCAACCTTTTTTTGCCACAGTTGTTAAAACGATTCACTGCGGTTGTTCAGTGAATCACATGGTCATTAAGCAAATTTGGTTTCTCCCATTGACTTTGCTTGTCAGAAGCTGCCTGGAAAGGCCACAAATGGGGATCTCGTGATTTTGCAACTGTCATAAATACATACCAGTCGCCAAGCACCTGAAATTTGATGTTGTGACAGTTGTAAGTACGAAGATAAGTCCTTTTTTTCAATGCAGTTCTATAACGTCAAACAGTCACTAAATGAGTGGTCATAAGTCAAGGACTACCTGTATATTGATCGGAATGCAGACCCATATTTTCCAACACCCACTAGCAAATGCTGCATCCCTCAGGCTTATGGGAGTTGTAGTTCAATCTGGGATATCTTCGCAAAGGCTGGGCCTGGAATCCATTCCCAAATCCAACCTTTTAGCCAGGATTCGATTCAGCTTTTGTTCCTTATATATTAGCGTTTCCCGACCTGGGTCGAATCCAGTTGAGTAGGTTTCAGCTCCCAGAATTCTCAGCAATGACCATGCTGGCTGGTGGGATTCTGGGAATTAAAGTCCACACATTGGAAGCTCTGTAAATGAAGGTTTTTGTGTTGGTATCCTGTTGCTTCGGCTTAGGATGGTTAAGTGTGTTAAAAGAGAATAGTAACTGCAAGTTGATTTTCCTTTCTTTTTTCTCCTCTCTTTCAGAAAGAAATTCAAGCAATGAGTCAGTGCCACCATCCAAATATTGTCTCCTACTATACTTCTTTCGTGGTGAAAGATGAACTTTGGTTAGTGATGAAGCTCCTAAGTGGAGGTAAGATTTCTGTGAATTCTGCTGCTGTTCGAGTTGGTTTGTCGCTATAAAAAGGGGATTTTTAAAATGCAGATCTATTTTTTACTTAAGTCAATAACAACAACACCTTTTCTGAAAGACATCTTAGAATATGTTTTCAGGCTGATTAATTTTAAAGGTTTTAATGACATGCAATTTATAGATCAAACCAGGGATAAGAAAAACATCCAACTTATTGGAGCAAATACAAAAAGCATTCTCTCATGCAGGTGTTTGATTCATAGGAATATTAATTGGCTAAATGAAAACACAGACACAACTACTGTAGTCCTCAATTTACAACCAATCAAAGTTATGACAGACCTCCCTGGGGGTACTTAGGGACCAGTTCTGAAGACCCGACAGCAGCCTCATGTGATCACATGTTGGACACCCAGCAACAAATGGATTTATGCCCACTTGTAGTGTCCGACAGTTATATGACTGAATTTCATGATGAGTTTGCTAAAAACCAATGTTTACATCTGTTTTTCAGCAAATCTGGCCTGTAGGAAACAGTTGGTTCGTTTAATGGCTGCGGAATTCAATTGTGGCAACTGCTTTAAATAGCAGTTTAATTTTTTTTAGGGGCAGCTGCAGCAAAGGTGATGAAAATAAATCGGTCATGTGGGTGCCCCAATTTATGACCAGCTCCATCAGATTGTAAATAGAGGACTGCCTGTAAAATTAATCTGGATTGCTGGAGCTCAAGCTGAATTTAGGAGATAGGTGGCAATTTATTTGCAGAAGTCTCTCTCTGAACTAGCAAAATGAACTCATTTTTTATTTTCATGATGGCTTTTAAAATAGAGTTAAAATGGATTCTGAATAACGTTATGATTTATTCATGCGCTGTTCGGGCATTGTTCTTTTATAATTGCTGTTCATCTTAAGCGTAGGCCTCAGAAGTCCTTTGAGAGTGCGGCAGAATTCAAATATAATAAGTAAATGGATAAATAATAGGGTCTGTGTGTAGTTGTTACAATTGCTTGTAATCTATGTGGAGCACTGTGCTTTGAGAGTGGGATGAGATAATCTTTTCCTGAGAATTGAACAGCGGGGGGAAAACATTGAAACATTAATGCTTTAAAACAAGACAGCTTTAAAACTATCCACAAGCTTAGGGACCACTAGACTAGAAATATACTTTGCAGTTAATATACCAAATTGAATAGGAAAATATACAGGTAGTCCTCGATTTACAGCAGTTCTTTTAGTGACCCTTTGAAGTTACAACGGCACTGAAAAAGTGACTTGTGACCATTTTCCACACTTACAACCATTGCAGCATCCCCGTGGTCACGTGATCAAAATTCAGATGCTTGCCAACTGACTGATTAATGATGGTTGCAGTTTCCCGGGGTCACATGATCCCCTTTTGTGATCTTCTGGCAAGCAAAGTCAATGGAGAAACCTGATTCACTTAACAACCATGTTACTAACTTAACATCTGCAGTGATTCACTTTAACAAGAATAGAATAGGATAGAGTAGAGTAGGGTAGGATAGGATAGGATAGGGTAGGGTAGGGTAGGGTAGGATAGGCTAGAGTAGAGTAGAGTAGAGTAGAGTAGTATAGGATAGGATAGATTAGACTAGACTAGACTAGGCTAGACTAGAGTAAAGTAGGATAGGATAGGGTAGGGTAGAGTAGAATAGAATAGAATAGAATAGAATAGAATAGAATAAAGGTAGAGTAGAGTAGAATAGGGTAGAGTAGAATAGAATAGAATAGAATAGAATAGAATAGAATAGAATAGAATAGAATTTTTTATTGGCCAAATGTGATTGGACACACAAGGAATTTGTCTTTGGTGCATACGCTCTCAGTATACATAAAAAAGAAGATACATTCGTCAAGAATCATAAGGTACAACACTTAATGATAGTCATAGGGTACAAATAAGCAATCAGGAAACAATATCAATATAAATTGTAAGGATACAAGCAACAAAGTTACAGTCATGCGGTCGGTCATAGGTGGGTGATAGGCACGATGAGAAGACTAACAATAATAGTAATGCAGACTTAGTGAATAGTTTGACAGTTTGAGGGAATTATTTGTTTAGCAGAGTAATGGCGTTCGGGAAAAAGCTGTGGCAAGAAAAAGGGGGCAAAACTGACTTAATGAATTTCTCACTTAGCAACATAAATGTTGGGCTCAATTGTGATCATACGTTGAGGACTACCTGTAATTCATTTTGTCCTGACTGTGTCTTTAGATAAGACTATTTTCCCTGCATACAGGTGTCTTTGCCTTTTGATTTGTCAGGCACCCTGAAGCTGTTTCGGAACCGCCGTCCCAAAGGTGCATTTTTTTCAAGAGGCAACTGGACTTGGTTTTTCAGTTAGTCAGAGCCGAAGAAGCTTCTTGGATGAGAAGCGAAACGTCTTCAAGGAAAAACAAAGAAAGTTCAGTTGCCTTTTAAAAAAGCACCATTGGGACAACCATGGCCTGCATGACTGAGAATCTCCACAGACAAGTCTTGAAATGGAATAACTTCCTCTCTCTCTGTTACTTACCTTGTAATCATAGGTTGATTCTCCAGGTTATCTGCTTAATCACTCTCTAAAATATTGGTAGACCTTGCAAGATAGTTTTGAGTTACAGGTAGTCCACAGTTTATAGCCTTTCATTTAGTGACTGTTCAAAGTTACAACAGCGCTGAAAAAAAGCAAATTATGACCGTTTTTTGTACTTCCAACCATTGCAGCCTCCCTGTGATCATGTGATCAAAATTTGGCGACTTGGCAACTGGCATGTATTTATAGCGGTTGCAGTGTCCTTGGGGTCACGTGATCCCCTTTTGGGACCTTCTGGCAAGCAAAGTCAACGGGGAAGCCAGATTCACTTAACAACCATGTTATTAACTTAATAACTGCTGTGATTCACTTGTGGCAAGAAAAGTAGTGAAACGGGGCAAAACTTGCTAAGCAAATGTGTCGCTTAGCTAAAAAATGCTTTTTGAAAAGGCAATTGGACTGGTTTTGGGTTGTTGTTTTTTTTTTGTTTTTTTTTTTGCTTATCAACAGAAATGTTGGGCTCAACTGTGGTTGTAAGTCAAGGACTACTTGCATTGTTGAAAAAAGGAATCAAAGCTCCACTTTTAACATGGGAAATTCTGCAGCACTAATCCCTGCATTGTTTTTCTTTTAAAAAAAAAACCTGAACAACTGTGTAATCCCCAGGTTAAATACAAGCCTTGCAACAGATACATCTCCTGATAAGGAAGCTTTGTAGAAACCGGTTCTTTGCAGAAACTGGAAGCTTTGTAGAAAGAATCTGCTCATATCTTGTTCAGCAGGAAACATTTGACATACATGAATTGCCATGTGGAAAAGTAACAGAAGGACTTTAGGTTAAAAATGGCAATTTTTGTTCAAAATAAGTGCAAGGAAGACAGCTTGGGAAGAAATCCTAACAGAGGGATATAGGTATCCTTGAATTATGACTGTAATGGAGAGTGCTCAATACGGCCCTAAGTTGTGACAGTCATAAAGTGAGTTGGACCAGATTTTACCATCTTTTCTGCATCAGTCGTTAAGCAAACCCATGGTTCATGATAGGCTGATTTGGCCAAAAACTGAATGTGAAGTTTCCAAAAAATGCCCTAATTAATTCATGAGCCTTGAACCAAAGACACTGAAAGTAAATGCCGTTTTTTTCACAAAACTATCTTAAAATGTGGTCATGTGAAACAGCCATAACTGTCAAGCACCCGAAGTACTATTATGTGACTCTGAGCGGGGAATAGCTGACGGAATAGCCAACAAGTTGCAAGCACCTCCTAGTACCCACCGTAATTTTGAAAATCATTAACCAATTGATCCTAACTCGAGGATTACCTATAGAAAGCAGGTGGAAAAATCGGTATCAGACCTAAGGAAAAGCAACATTCACAAATTGCTTTAGGAATGCTGGCTAGGGAATTCTGGGAGTTGAAGTCCACACATCTTAAAATTAGCAAGTTTGAGAAACTCTGCTCTAGGCCACAAAACACTTTCCCCGATTTGTGGTTAAGAGGGCCAGCACAACCAGCCAATGTGAACTAAAATCTATCATTTGTGGCTTCGCTGATTTGGTAAATTGTGAAGTAAGTCACAATTAAAGAACCGATCACTCACGGCAAGGCATGAACAAGGCCAAATTAGATTAATGGTTATGCAGAAGAAGCAGACGAAAGAATATACATAAAAACTATTCGAGGCACTACAGAGCTAACTCAAGGGTGCCAAACTGTTTGAGAGTGTTAATGTTTTGAGAATTTTTTCCTTCATTGAAATGGTTTTTTTCTAAAGGAAAATAAATGTCTACTGTCAAAGAGAAGGAGGAAGGGGGCAAAAATTAGCTTCTGGCTTACAAACCTCTCCATTAGAAACAAAGCTGGTATTTGCTGTAGGACTCTCCCTAAATTCCTACAATGAAAAAAGAAAAAAACAGCAAACATTGGCTGTTCTCTCATTTCTGAGTCTCAAAAATCCAGCTCTTAAGTCAACCCCTACTACCCAAACTGGATTTCCTTTCCGTCTCCAGAAGCAACCTGGCTAACAATGCTTTGTACATTTCAAAAAAAAAACAAAAACAAACCACCAGATATATTCATCTTTAATTTCATTTAGGCCACATTTTCCTTTCCTTGAGCCAAAAGATTTCACCTTTCCTGCCCCACGAAAACTATTTGAATCAGCATTCTTTATTGAGCCAAGGAAGAGACACACCTTGAACACTCTGTGGGAAAAAACTAATAGTAGTTTAACCAGATAAGATAAAAATGCAATTCGGAGACTGCAGGGCTGAGAGATTAGCTTGGTTTAGAAATCTAGCAACTTGCCCCTTGTTACAAACTCATTCACTGACTTGCAATCTCAGTGTTTCTATTTTTAAAACCTGCTTCAGTGGCACTGAAGATGCTCAGTTACAGAGAAGATGTCTAAAAGGACTTGGGAAACCACAGAAACAACTTTCTTCCAGATAAATAAGTG